TAGATTTTTTGATGATGGCCATTCTGACCGGTGTGAGGTGATACCTCATTGTAGTTTTGATTTGCACTTCTCTAATAGTTAGCAATGTTGAGCACCTTTTCATGTGCCTCTGGCCATCTGTATATCTTCTCTGGAGAAATTTCTGTTTAGGTCTTCTGCCCGTTTTTTGATTGTGGTTTTTCTTTTCTTTTTTTTTTTTTTTTTTGGATATTGAGGTGTATGAGCTGTTTGTATATTTTGAGATTAATCCCATGTCAGTTCTTTCATTTGCAAATATTTTCTCGCATTCTGAGGGTTGTCTTTTCATCTTGTTTATGGTTTCCTTTGCTGTGCAAACGCTTTTAAGTTTAACTAGGTCCCATTTGTTTATTTTTGTTTTCATTTTTATTATTGTAGGAGGTGAATCCAAAAAGATATTTCTGCGATTTGTTAGAGAGTGTTCTGCCTATGTTTTCCTCTAAGAGTTTTCAGTCTTACATTAGGTTTTTAATCCATTTTGAGTTTATTTTTGAATATGGTGTTAGAAAATGTTCTAATTTCATTCTTTTACATGTAGCTGTCCCATTTTCCTGGCACCACTTACTGAAGAGACTGTCTTTTCTCCATTGTATATTATTTGCTCCTTTGTTGTAGATTAATTGACCATAGGTGCGTGGGTTTATTTCTGGGCTTTCTATCCTGTTCCATTGATATACTTTTCTGTTTTTGTGCCAGTACCATACTGTTTTGATGACTGTAGCTTTGTAGTATAGTCTGAAGTCAGGGAGCCTGCTTCCTCCAGCTCCATTTTTCTTGCTCACGATTACTTTGGCTATTCAGGGGTCTTCTGTATTTCCATACAAATTTAAAAAGTTTTTGTTCTAGTTCTGTGAAAAATGCCATTGGTAATTTGATAGGGATTGCATTGAATCTGTAGATTGCCTTGCGTAGTATAGTCATTTTGACAATATTGATACTTCCAATCCAAGAAAATGGTATATCTTTCCATCTGTGTCATCTTCGATTTCTTTCATCGGCGTCTTATAGTTTTCAGAGTACAGGTTTTTTGCCTCCTTAGGTAGGTTTATTCCTAAATATTTTAGTCTTTTTGATGCAATGGTAAATGGGATTGTTTCCCTAATATCTCTTTCTGAGCTTTCGTTGTTAGTGTATAGAAATGTGAGGGATATCTGTGTATTAATTTTGTATTCTGCAACTTTACCAAATTCATTGATGAGTTCTAGTAGTTTTCTGATACCATCTTCAGGATTTTCTATGTATAGTATCATATTATCTGCAAATAGAGACAGTTTTACTTTTTCTTTTCCAATTTTGATTCCTTTTATTTCTTTTTTTTCTCCGATTGCCATGGCTGGGACTTCCAGAACTGTGTTGAATAAAAGTGGCAAGAGTGGGCTTCCTGATCTTGGAGGAAATGCTTTCAGCTATTCACCGTTGAGTATGATGTTAGCTGAGGGTTTGTTGTATATGGCCTTTATTATGTTGAGGTAGGTTCCCTTTATGCCTACTTTCTGGAGAGTTTTGTTTGTTTGTTTTTTTATGAGGTACACAGGCCTCTCACTGTTGTGGCCTCTCCCGTTGCGGAGCACAGGCTCCAGACGCGCAGGCTTAGCGGCCATGGCTCACGGGCCCAGCTGCTCCACGGCATGTGGGATCTTCCTGGACCAGGGCACGAACCCATGTCCCCTGCGTGGGCAGGCAGACTCTCAACCACTGCGCCACCAGGGAAGCTCTCTGGAGAGTTTTTATCATAAATGGGTGTTGAATTTTATCAGAAGCTTTTTCTGCATCTCTTGAGATGATCATATAGTTTTTATTCTTCAGTTTGTTAATGTGGCATATCTCACTGATTGATTTGCGGATATTGAAAAATTCTTTTTTTAAAAAAATTATTATTTATTTATTTTTGGCTGCATTGGGTCTTCGTTGCTGCACATGGGCTTTCTCTAGTTGCGGTGAGTGGGGCTACTCTTCATTGCAGTGCATGGGCTTCTCATTGTGGTGGCTTCTTTTATTGCAGAGCACAGGCTCTAGGTGCGCGGGCTTCAGTAGTTGTGGCACGTGGGCTCAGTAGTTGTGGCTTGTGGGCTTTAGAGTGCAGGCTCAGTAGCTGTGGGGCACAGGCCTAGTTGCTCTGCGGCATGTGGGATCTCTCCAGACCAGGGCTTGAACCTGTGTCCCCTGCATTGGCAGGCGGATTCTTAACCACTGCGCCACCAGGGAAGTCCCTGAAAATTCTTACCTTTTGGGGATAAATCCCACTTGATGATGGTGTATGATCCTTTTAATGTATTGTTGGATTTGGTTTGCTAGTATTTTGTTAAGGATTTTTGCATCTATGTTCATCAGTGATACTGGCCTGTAATTTTCCTTTTTTTTTTTTTGTATATTTGTCTGGTTTTGGTATCAGGGTGGTAGTGGCCTCATAGAATGAGCTTGGGAGTTTTCCTTCCTCTGCAATTTTTTGGAACAGTTTCAGAAGGATAGGTGTTAACTCTTCTCTAAATGTTTGATAGAAGTCACTTGTGAAGCCATCTGGTCCTGGAATTTTGTTTGTTGGAAGTTCTTAATCACAGTTTCAGGGAGATACTTACAAAGTTAAGGCATGAAGTATTATATTTTGCTAGAGGTATTTGGAAGATAATCTATCAGTTTAAGGAAGTTCTCTTTTAGTCCCATTGTATAAAGGCTTAATTGGGAATGAGTTGATTTTAATGACTTCTGTAGTTAATGACATAATTATGTGGCTTTTTTCTGTAATCTATTCATGATGTTGGACTTTTTAATGTTGAGCCACTGGTAAGATTAATTTTCTTTTAATATGCTATTGGCTATTTGTATTTCTTTTCTGAATTGAGTGTTCGTAGCCTTTATAGATTTTTATTTTCTGTTGGGTTGTTATATTGCTTTACAGATATTTTTTATCAGTTGTGATGATTAGCCCTTTATTATATATTTTCTGTAAGTTTCTGTTGCTTTTTTTCCTTTATAACTTTTGAGTTTTTTGTCATGCTTAAAAACCCCATTTAAATTGTAAAATTATTTGCTATAATTTTATAGTTACCTGAAAGATTTTAAAAACTTATTTCAACTGGTATTTGTTTTATATAGTATGTGAGATTGGAACCTCATTTTCTTTTCATACTTTGACATTTGTCCCTTATTGAATATGGCTTTCTTTGTGACTGATTTGAAAAACCAGTTTTCTCATATACTAGGTTTTCATATATGCCTTGGTTCATGTTTCTGTGCTAAAATAGTATTGTTTTAATTACTCTTGCTTTATATGAAGGCAAGTCTCTGAGGCAGGAATTTAAAAATCTCAGGCTTCACCCAAATAGTCTGTGTTCAGATCCTAATTCTGCTACTGTACAAGTTTTGTGACTCTGCTCAGGTTAGTCATTTTGCCTCTTTAAGGTTAGGTTTCCTTTCTGGGAAAATATTGATAGTTGTAGTAGTATTTGCTTTGCAGGTTGTAATGAGCTTATTAATATAATACCTGGCACTAAACTCTCAATAATTGTTAGCTGCCATTGTTTTAGGGGATACTGCTTCTTTTTATTAATCAGTAGTTTTATGAACATTTCTTCTTCTGCTCCCCTTGGTCACTACTTATCTCAAAGAATGAGGGACTAATAATAGATGAGAGCGATGGCTATTGACCCTCTCTGAGGGACAGTCACTGTTCAGGTGGAGCCTGTTCTTTGGCCTGTTCTCTCTTGTTCCCGAGGGGTGTGATTCTCTCTTCTGCTTTTCTTACAGTTAGCTCACCAAGGGCAGACTTCCCTATCCAATAGAGAAGCCTTGCACTTCTCCATTTCCTCTGCCAGGACTTGTGAAGTCAGTCTAGTTCCAGGGGGGGAACAGAAATAGTGAGAAGTTCATTGTGTCCATAGTAGAGTATTTTAATCATTTCTACTAAAACGTAGATACTGTATTATCATTGCCACCTGACTGCTATATATATTTCTCAATTGGTTTATAACAGTGGTCCCCAACCTTTTTGGCACCAGGCACCAGTTTCGTGGAAGACAGTTTTTCCAAGGATGGGGCGAGGGAGGGAGGGAATGGTTTCAGGATGATTCAAGCACATTGATTTATTATGGTCTGTGCAGTCAAACCACTCTGCTAATGATAATCTGTATTTGCAGCCGCTTCCCAGCTCACTGCATCAGCTCCACCTCAGATGATCAGGCATTAGATTCTCATAAGGAGCGCGCAGCCTAGATCCCTCCCACGCGCAGTTCACAGTAGGGTTCACACTCCTATGAGAATCTAATGCCACCGCTGATCTGATAGGAGGTAGAGCTCAGGTGGTAATGCCAGCAATGGGGAGCGGCTGTAAATACAGATGAAGCTTTGCTTTCTTGCCCGCTGTTCACCTCTTGCTGTTCCACCCGGTTCCTAACAGGCCACGGACCAGTACTGGTCCGTGGCTTGGGGGTTGGGGACCTCTGGTTTAGAACATACCTCTCTCTGTTTTATGATTAACTGTCCCCCAGATAGCTAGTTGTTATGCAGGAAAATGTTATTCATTTATTTAACAAATATTTATTAAAGAAAGAAGTAGTAAACTGGAGTCCCAAAAGCCAAATCAGAACTGTAGACAAATTTGGCACAAGGATGGATTTTGAATGTTTTTGTCAGTATTTTAAAACCATGAGATTTCATTTCTTTCTACTGTATCATATCAGTCAAAGAAGCAGGAATGGTGACATTATGTGATGGGGTATAGAGGGAAGAGAGTTTACCACTTCAGTTTTTGACAACATACACATTAAAGGGAGGATACGTGTGTTTACAATAGGATTATAAGTTTAATCATGAACTTTTATTTTTATTTTTTTTTTGCGGTACGCGGGCTTCTCACCGTTGTGGCCTCTCCCGTTGTGGAGCACAGGCTCCGGACGCGCAGGCTCAGCGGCCATGGCTCACGGGCCCAGCCGCTCCGCAGCATGTGGGATCTTCCCAGACCGGGGCACGAACCCGCGTCCCCTGCATCAGTAGGCGGACTCTCAACCACTGTGCCACCAGGGAAGCCCTAATCACGAACTTTTAAGCAAAACGTAAAGAGACCTGTTTTCTAGCTTCAGGTTTCTAATAAATAGCTCTCATCCCAGCACTCTAGCCTCTGTTGTGGTTTATCACAATATGACTCTAACAATAGAATTTTGAGAATATATTGTGCAGAGATAATTGGACATAAAATATCAGTGATTCCTCCCCGACCTGTAATATATAAAATATTTCCTAGGGAACTGAATTTCAGGTTTGGACTTGGAGGGAAAACCTCTCCCCATTTCCTTCCAGTTTTATTTGGGTTTGTTAAAAGAAACTGGATTTCAAGAGATGGTAGCAAGCAAGAGGTTACTAAGAAGTTCTGTTATTTAAATGTGTGCAAAGGACATTTTCCATATTGTCTTATACTACGTTTACTGAATGCTTCATATCTTGATGAAGAGTCAGCCTTGGGAAAACACTTTTAGCCCACAGGTTCACTTTTCAAAAGCTTCATAATTTTGAATAGGTAATATATGTTACAAAATTCAAAAGTTACAAAAACGAATAAATCTTTCTTACCCTTCCCTATATACAGATACTCAGTTTCCCCTTATAAAGGCAAACACCAGTTTCTTGTGTTTCCTTCCAGAGATATGCAAGATTCCGTATACAATCATATACATTTGTGTTTTAAATACGCACCTATAAATCATCCAGCCTGTAAACACCTATAACGCTGTCCATCTTGGCAATCTTGCCCGTGTTCAATTTTCAGTCTTGGAAATTTCTGCTAAATTGCCCTTTGTTGCCCTTCATGGAGGTTGTCCCAGTTTATGATCTTACCCACAGGCAGTGAGAGTACCTGTTTCCCCACCTCACCAACACAGTGCCTTATCAAACTCCTTTCATTTTTGCCAGTCTGAAGGAAAAGTAGTACCTTGTAGTTTAAATTTGCATTTTTGCAATAACATAAAATTGAAGTTGGGCATCTTCTTGAGATGTACTTGAAATATTTTTCCAGTTTATCCCTTGAATTTGTGTTTATTGCCATGAAGACCATTTAAAAAATGCTTATTAGTTTAACAGATTCTCATGGCTTTTAGATTTTGTTTCATTTAGAAAGGCATTCTTTATTAAAAAATAATTAATGGTTTTGTTTTTTTTACATTTAAAGTCTTTGATCTGGAAGTTTAAATAAGGGTAGTAGGTATGCAGCTTTACTTTTGAGGCAAAAATGTATATATTGTGATATATAATGTGTATATTGTATTGAGATGATAAATAAAGTGTAATTCTTGGGAAAGAGTTGTTACTGTATTGCTTGTTCGTTTTAAGGGAGAATCATTGAAAATTTTTTTCACGGATTATTAAAGTAACACTTTTCTGTAGGAAATTTAGAAGAATACAGGAGGGAATAAAAATCAACCATAATCCCACTACCATATTATAGATAACAAAATTGGGACCGTACTCATACTGCAACTTATTTTTTTCTCACTTGATACTAACATAGGAACTTAGGTTTAGAAAATAAATTGTCGTTTACCATGGTGTCAGAATTTTTTTCAACCATCCTAGTATTTTTCTGAGGCGAAATCTGAGGCCCTTAAAGGAATGAATGACCTCGGCTTTAGGCATACCTTTAAATTTTGAACAGTTTTAAAGTGCTGCATTTTAAATGAGACACCAGCACTCAGGCGAGCCAGGCATTCAGCGGGTTTCGACTCCAGAGAGAACGGAGCTCCAGGCCGGCCGGGGTCCTCGAGCCTGGCCGCTGGCCTCTCAGCCCAGCCTGGCTGCAGTGACCCCTGGTGGCGGAGGCAAGGGCGGCCAAGCACGAGGCTGAGGGTCAGATCCACCGCTGAACCCTTCTCTTCCGAGAAATCCTTTTAGTCGCTTTGGGAAACGCTTTCTTCGCATTTGCCTGTCTGACCCTTTGCCGCACACGCCGACTTTGAGCGCAGAATTGCGGCGCTAGAGCGCCCTGGCGCCGCAGACGACCGCCAGGTGTCCCCGAGGCGGGGCGAAGCTCAGCCCCGGCGCCTGGGGCTGGTTTCCGCGCCCCGCTCCCTCGTTACTCCATCTGGGGAGTTTGAGAAGTTTTGAACTTCCGGGTTGGCTCTCCCGGGCTTGCGGTGTGGTGGCCAGCCGAAGGGCGTCGCTGTGCCCAGTGTTTGGGCGTGTCCCTTTAAACTTTTTTGTTTTTTAAACTTCGGGGGTGTAGTCACGGCCCTCCTCTCTCTGCGAGTTGCTCCCTGGACACCCGGTCCTTCCCTCCGCCCCGCCGTCCAGATGCTGTGGATCATGAGCCTGAAGGGCGCGGGGACCCTTCTGGTGACCGAGGTGATCAAAGGTTAGTGTGGAGGGCGCGCCCTCGGGACACCCCCTATTTAGAGGGCATCGGGCAGTGCACGGGGGTCGAGGAGGCCCCCATTGATGACCAAGATGTGCCTTTAAGCTTCGGTGCCAGGGCCGATGCTGTCTCTTGGGAGTGGGTGGCCTCCTGGGACTCTTAGTCACCAGGCGTGGTCCTGCCTTGGAGCGAATCTGCACAGATGTGTGCAGTTCGGACCCTTGTGTCCTTACATCATGGCTGGTGGGCTCTCCACCTCAGGGAGCAAAATCCGTAGTCACTGCATGGGGATCAAGGGTCATTTTTGGTTGAAAAGGAGTCAGCCCCGTCATCCGTTTGGGTGTCTGTGGTTGCAGGACATTTAAGTTGAGGCGTTTATAGGGAAATAAATACAGCAATTGTGTGTACTGAATTGTTTAAATTACTATTATAAAAATTGTTTAAATGACTATTTGGGGAAAGGATGCCAGCTGGCGTCGTTTGTTCCTTACTATTTTAAGGGCTGTACTTAATTTTGCCACAATTTGAATCTAAGTATTCTACTAGCACTATTACTAGTATTACTACTGCTAGGTATTAAGGATGACTTTGCTTCACCAAGGATTTTCAGGCAATTCCTTTTGGGGTGGGGCAGGAGAGGAAGGGTGGCGCCTCTGAACCTTACCCTGTTACCATTCTTGCTAAACCTCACAGCAGCCTAACTGCTTTTATGCAACGCAGGTTCATCTCATACTCATCCTGCAGAATACTCTTATTTGCCTCTGCTATAATGAATGGTCCGATTGTAAAAATCATTACAAAAGTAGTGATTCCGAATCAAAAAATAAGTAGCGACCCCTAAGAACATTGGATAAACATGTGGTTTGTTTTGTGTGTTATAGCCGTAAACTAATTTTGAAGCAATTTTGAAAGCGTTTTCTCTCTACTTAAAACATAGTTTCTTATTGAAATGACTTTTCAGGATGTCTTGAAAACATAGCGAAACATAGGGAAAGTCATCCAGGCTGGTGGTCTAGCTATCAAATGCATGCTGCCATTTACCGAAATTTCTTAGTCCAGGGTAAAGTTTTCCAGAAATCAAGCCGTATCGCTGTATGAAAAGTCATTTACCGCTGTTGAAACTTATATTAAAGGCAATTTCTCCTTTTTAAAAATTGCTTACTTATTATTACCCACCAAAATAGCCAGAACATTTTGAAGTTACTCACTGATAACCTTACCATCTGAAACATGCATGGGAAAAAAATAAAAATTTGACTTCATCTGAAAAGAGTTGCAACATGATATATGAAACGTTTTTTAATGATGTGAAGGAAGGAACATTACAATTTTTCCATTTCAGATCGCCTTTGTTTTGCCATTCTCTACAGCAGACCAAAGAGTTCATCAAATGTACATTATTTCAGCATAGATAATGAACTTGAATATGAAAAGTAAGTATTGCTTTTTCAAAGATTGTTAGTAACTTTTTTTATTTTGAAGAATCTAAAGGTATGTTTATAAAATTGGAACATTACAAATCCGTTGACTGTTAGTTGCAGGATACTTTTTGCTTTAACCCTTGGTAATAAAATAGATCCTTAGGGAAAAAAATCAGAATGAAAGAACCTTCCTAAATTTAACAATTTACATTTGAAATTCTAACAGTTTACAGTATAATGAGATATAAACTAGAGTACTAAGATGTTGTGTTTTTGCCAGTGGAAAAAAATGTGTGGAAAAACAGCTTTTTTATTCAGAAAGTGTTTTTGTTATTTGAGGTTAGATTTAGGCATTTTAACACTTGTCAGGTATTTTAATAGTCATCTTTTACCAGAGTATTTCTTCCATTAGTAAGGCAGTACCTTTAAGTTGTGTGACCTATAATAATTTGGTGTGTGCTTTCTTGCTTTATTTTGATGTTGTAGCTACAAAAAGGCATTTATATTCAAAGCATCTGGAATATACATACACATTTTTGTTTTTCATTTTTGCAGCTTCTACGCAGATTTTGGACCACTCAATCTAGCAATGGTTTACAGATATTGCTGCAAGATTAATAAGAAATTAAAGGTAAAGTATTCCTTACGGAAGATTTCACTTAAGTAATCATTGTTAGCCTGATCTTGCAGGGAGGAAGGGAAATCTGTTTTTAAAAGGGAAATGTCATGTTTTTCACTGGAGTGGTGTTTGAGACATACATGTGGTTTATTGTTTTATAAAGTCATAGTATATCTATTTGTTTACCAGAGTTTTGATGAATGGCTTAAGTTTGGGTCATTTGGTTCTGGTTTGGATTGGTGATGCTCATATACTTGAAAAACCAAAGTTCAGATAGTCAATAAAGTGAACCTCTTATTGTCTGAGCCAGTGGAGCTGTCACCTAACAAGAGGAGCTTTCCTTCCTTTGGTCATTGTTCTTTCTGCCTTCACTTTGATAGGGGGTGTTAGGAAAACTAAGAGAAATTGGATTCATCTTACTTTATTTCATTATGAATCTCGCATGATATTGTACTACTTGTGACTCTTCACTATGACCCTTTACGCATATGATTAAGGAGCAGAGAAGCAAGGGCAGACAGCATACAGTCTTTAAGACTGTATCACTGAATTGTAAGAGTGTATTACTATTAGTTTGAACTTAGACCTTATTCATTTATTTTAAAAACTCTGAATTGTTGGTCATGTACAATAAAAGGTGTTCATATACTGCTAGCAATTCTAAGAGTCACTGTATATTCTCAAGTAGAAATACTGGATTTGGGGGGGCAGGTGCTTTTTAAAAAAAGTTTATTCAGCTGATTACTTATTAAACTACGACACAGAAATAAAATTCATTTTCAATTAAAAATTAAATTATACTAAAAATTTATGGGTGAGTAAGGCAGATCTATTTCCCCTTGAACATCAAACTTAAAATTCCACACCATAAATGCTAGAAGCATCTGTCAGAAGTTACTAATATGTAAAAAGGAAGTTGCAGCGTTGCTTTCTCTTTTTTCTATTAAATTTGTATTCACTAGAGATGTATACAGAGATGGAGACTCTTCTTTCTGGACTTTATTCCTCCCTGGAACAGGAATATAAGCATTTGTGGCCTTGGGTATTTATGTTCCCCCCATCCCGTTTTTCCAGTTGCCAGTGGCAGGTTTTTTGTTTCATACAGGGCTGAGAAGCTAAAAATAATTTCCTTTTCCCCTACTGGTGTTCCTTTACTTTAATTTTGAAAGTTTTTTGTTTGTTTTAAACATACTTGGCCATCCTTTTATCTTTGGGTCAACCAAGAACATATTTGTCCTTTTTTCAAACTTTAAAAAAAAATTATTTACCAGAACAGCTTGCAGTGTTGACCATCCCACCTGACTGAAACTTAATTCCTATTCAATTAATAGAGGTAAAAGTGTGTTGAGAATTTCTATTAAGAGTGTCTTGTGTGTATGCTGCTTGAGGGCTGGTTGGGTTGTTGTTTTTCTTTAAATCAACTTGGATTTCTTACTCTATGTAAACAACTAAAAGAAAATATGTAACATTCATCATTGAAATACCCAAACATTGGCTCACAGAAGCAAAAGAATACTGTGCTTATTCAACTGAATATATCCTGTTTCTTACCCTTACTTGAAATGTTGTCTACTCACATTTGTGAAGTACAGGTGAGGAAGAGCTAATAAATCATGTGTTCCTTTGGTTTTTAAATTCCATATCCTTTTTATTTTTAACTTTTTATTGAAGCACAATGTATATACAGAAAGATGTATAGATCGTGAATATACAGCTCAATGAATTTTACAAACTGAATATACATGGATAGTCATCTGGATCAAGAACAAGAACAGAACATTAGCAACACTCCAGAAGAGCCCACTTGTGCTCTCTTGGTTATCTCTGTACCACCCTCCTCACTCCACCCCTCCCTACCCCATTCACTATCCTGATTTCTAACAGAATGAATTATTTTTGCCCGTTCTTATACCCTTTGATGTTAATTTAAAGGTTTTGGGGAGAGATTAACAAAAAAAGTCAGACAGTAGGAAAAGGAAAGAAAAGGTCTCTCCTACTACCTTTTCCAGCTTTTTATGTATTCTTTCAGAGGTAGTCTATACTTAAAGTGTATCTGTTCATAGCTCCTGTCCTACCTTTTTAAAAAATTGAAGTGTAGTTGATTTATGATATCATATTAGTTTCAGGTTTCTCTTCTCCCACCCTTTAATTGTACATTTGTTCTACTCCAAGGGTGTGTCTTCTATGGGAAGGTACATGGTATTTTTGGGTATCAAAGTTTATCTTTTTAAGTCTTGCTAATATGAATGCTTCAACATTATGAGGTTTGGAATTTATTTTAATCACAAAATAAAGTTTTAGAAAACTTGAAATTAGAAAGGAAATACTAACAGCTGTTTATCTTTATGCAGTCCATTACAATGATGAGGAAGAAAATTATTCATTTTACTGGCCCTGATCAGAGAAAACAGGCAAATGCTGCTTTCCTTGTTGGATGTTATATGGTAAGTATTTAACTACTTTTCTAACGTATTAGTGAAAATACATACAACAGTGGTACTTTAAATTTGTGGTTGAAATTTTGAAATTACTTTTTCTTAGACATCTTGATTTCTTTCCAGAAAGAACATGTTTTGCTTTATAAAAATTGACCAACTGGGAAAGGCTATGGAGGGGGGAAGGGGTATGTGGGAGATCTCTGTACCTTATACTCGGTTTTGCTGTTCTGAACCTAAAACTGCTCTAAAAAAGTCTATTTTTAAAAAAATTGACCAACTAGTGTGAAAACCTTTTTATGTGTTACGGCACTTAAGGTTAGAAAATAATGCCCCAAATCTGTGTTTTTATTAACTCATGATCCATTTAGTAAAGTTGTGAAGGTGGAATCAGGACCAATAATTGATTTAAAACAAAAACAAAAAACATCAAAAGTGTATCACATGAGGTAAGAGTGCTGTATAATTTGAATACAGGCAATGTTTTCCTAAATAAGGTGTGATTCTAAACACACCAAAACATGCCATAAGGACATGGCATGTCGGTACTGTAGGAAAATGGGTAACATACTGTGTAGATTACATACAACATTGAGTGGTTGGTCTTTTTGGGTCATTGGAAGTATGCTTTGGAATAGCCAGTATTTCATGAGTTATGAATTTCATTTATTTGTAAATATCATGGAAAGTGGTTATTTAGAGGCAGATTTTGTCTAGTGCCTGCATTCATCTTCAGGAGTACCTAAGTAACAGGTTTTCCTGCATAAGCTAAGAGGTCCTCCAGAGTGGTGGTCCTCATGTTTTTGGTGGTGTGGAAGCTAGCTGTTCTACTCAGTGGAGAAGAATATCGAGTAGTTATTCCAGATAAAAAAGGATTGGTGGGCTTCCCTGGTGGCGCAATGGTTGGGAGTCCGCCTGCCGATTCAGGGAACACGGTTTCGTGCCCCGGTCCGGGAGGATCCCACATGCCGCGGAGCGGCTGGGCCCTGTGAGCCATGGCCGCTGGGCCTGCGCCTCCGGAGCCTGTGCTCCGCAACAGGAGAGGCCACGGCAGTGAGAGGCCCGAGTACCACAAAAAAAAAAAAAAAAAAGGATTGGTGTTGGAGTTCTTGAGGTAAGTTCTTGTCCCAGGTTGCTACTTGGTTCTGTCATGCTTTCTTTTAAAATTTTCTGACATGTAGTTTGAACGTCTGGAATTTACAATGATAAGACCAAAATTTGGTGGTACTAGTTGAAATTGCACCTCAAAGTTGGGTAGTTTCCTTTTCTACGTTTAAGGTATATCATTAACAATGACTAAGGCCTTTTTGGGTTTTGTTTTTATATTTGTGCTCACAAAAGTAACTGAGAGAAATGTTTCTGAGATAACTAAGTTTTATTATCATCTCTGTATGAAACACAGGTTGTAGATTATATCTCTTAAAAATTGATTTTTTTTTTAAGCTTACCCAGATAAGGACTTTTGTTTGTTTTTTGGCTTTTGTCATCTCTCCTGATGTTTATTGTACTTAGCAGCAAAAATCCTGAGGGGGGAGGGTGGGTGGAAAGAGCCTCTGCAGGGTCCCAAGAAAAAGAATGGAGAAGGTAGCTGTTTTCACTGGGGTAATTGGTCCCATTACTTGGCCAGTCACTGGGGAGAGGAATGCCATGGATTAGAGTAAACTGTGACAGCTTTACAGGAAAAGGGACACAGCCAGAATTCTTGGTGTTCATAAAGTATTAAAGGGAACCGTGGAGAAATGGCCCTGGTGTAACAGTAAAAGTCATTACACTGCCCAGGAGAAAATCTGGATGGCTGAAGCAGTTCCACTTAAGAGAATGTTCTCCTGATCAGAGCACACAGAGCTTGCCTGGGCTGCGCTGGAGTCAGTCATTTGTCTTTCTTTGTTAGATGAGATGTCCCTAAAACGGTGGGGTCTTGAGTAGCCAGATATGGTAAGTTCAGTGTGAAAGAACCCCTTAGAGGGTAGCTGTGGGCATCATGCAAACCAAGCATTGTCTTAGAAACAAAACACTTGATAATTTTAGAGAAAAGAAATCTCTCTTTTTAGGTCTTGTTGCTGTTGTTTTTTTATAGCTAGTGAAAAAGCAGTAACCCCTTGGCACACTGATTGAAAATGTGTTAGCATGCTTGTTCCTAGTTTGGTGTTGGCCTTTTGACTTTGTTTATGGTTGTATTTTGGCATGCAGAAGTTTATTTTTCTACAGTTAATATATTTTACATTTAGAAATCCTTCCAGGATTTTACACTCCCAGGTCAGCACTGATTTGATTGGTTAGGAAAGTGCCAGGTAAGCGATTTGGACTCAAGGAATGAACTTGAGCTCATTCCTTTGTTCAGTTAGAAGCCAGGTTGGCAGGAGGTTTACAGCTCTTGGCTGTAGTAAATGTCTTTGCACCATGACTGGCTGGCTAAAGTAGGAGCTTGGAGCTGTAATGATGCTAGGTGGGGAAACGGGAGAAAAACTTCTAAGAAGAGGAGGTTTATTAATAGGAGGAAAGGAGTGTCAAGATGTGATATGGATACCCCAAAAGATTAAACATCAAAAGTAAGTAAGTAGTGTTGGTTTAATCTGGTTGAAGTCTATTGGATCATCTGATTAAAGATTTGTAGAGATGAGTGAGAATTCCCCCAAAATTGATCTTCAGGCCTGATGACCTTTTCTGGAGTTGTTTGAGGAATTTGGGAGATAATAAGTCTTTTTAATGACTGACTTAGAGGATGGTGTGGTAATATTAAAACAAAAACAAAGTCTGGAGGAAGTACAGACAGGATGGAAGTATTCCAAATGGACTGATTCTATTTAAAAGGACTGACTCTGTCCTTTTAAACTCTGGGCCTCTGAAAGGAATCATTCTCCCTTCATTCTTGTGTACTGAAAAGGACCTAATAGGGGATGTGGAGAGAGTGAGAGAATAAAGTGTTAGTAATTATATTTATTATTTTACCTTAAAAACAGAAGAGGTTAGGCTTTATAAATACTTAAAATACTCAAATACTTAAAATAGGATTGACATGCCCATACTTTTCAAATACATTGTATTTCTAAATATTACAGTTTATGTGGCCTGGCAAATGGATTTGCCAACTATCTGAAATGGTAGATTCTTGGGTAACAAATTAGGGTGCCACTAAAAATCTTTTTGTACCACTCACCATAAAAGAGTTGAGGGACATAAAAGATAACTGGATTTTTTTTTTTTTAACAAAAAGGTAAGTGAACCATATCATTTTACAAAATAATAAGTTTGCTACCCTGTTGTGATAAGTCAGTGGCTGTTTCCTAGCCAGATTTTGGGGTGGCGGTACTTAACCTGTCATTTCAAGTAAAGGTGAAATTCTAAGTGGCAAAGTAAGTGCTTTTCAAAACAAATTAACGATTGAGAGTGTATTTCTAAAATAAAAGTTTGAAACTTGGCCATTTTGCTATAAAAAATGTCATGTGCAAAACCCATATTTGTACCCTTGAGAAATTTAGAAAAACTTCCTTTAAAAAATACTTTTATATTTATTTATAGAAGTAGGATACATTCACCAGTATAATTTTATCACCTGATTTTTTTAGTTAGTGATCTGTTCTTTCACTTTAGTACATGTTTTATCATCTTTATACCCAGATTGTATTCGTCTTTCTCAGTTGATCCAAAGTGTCCAAACCAATATTTCATCCAGGACCACACACTGCATGTGGTGGTAGTGTCCTTAATCTCTCTCACACATGGTCCTTTTTTTGCTAACACTGATTTTTATAAAGAGGCCAGACCTATTTTCTTGTAGAAAGTTCCACCTTTTGAATTTCTCTGGTTTCTTCTTTGTGGTATTTTTTAACTTGTTTCTCCATTCTTTGTATTTCTTGTGAACTGGAAGTTTTACCTATAGGCTTGCGCATTAGTAGTGTATGTTGTATCCCCTAAGAAGACATGTAATACCTAAATTACCATTAGTGGTGCTAAAAACGGCACCACTGGATTAGGTGCCAACCATCAAAGCCCTTCAATATATTGTTTTCTCCTTATGATTTAAGCATTCTGTGTGGTGTTATTTTGGAACTGTTTGTATATTCAGTTCCCCATCAACCGTGCATGTTGGTGTTTTAAACAACAATTGATCATTCTTGCCTGAATCAATAATTTTATTAGGGTTTCAGTATAACGTTTTTCTAATTATTTCATTCCTCCTTCACTTATTAGCTGGCTTACTTTTATGGAAATTGAGCTTTCCCTCATTCAGTTGGGGCTCTTTGGTTACCCTGAAACGAATTTTCCTACCGAGAAGGCAGAAAGAGTGGCCGTTTCCCTTTAATCACCAGTTTTTGAAGTATTACATGAATAGCCACAAAACAAAATTTTAAAACCTTATTTAAAGTCATTTAAATAATGTTTCATTGGGTTTTGAACTCATTTGCTAAACATTTTAAAAATGTGCAGCACTTTCCCAACACCTGATTAGCATTTGGGAAGTTGGACATTTACTAACCAAATGCACATCATTGCTGAATGGGATTAAAAAAGTAAGTGTAATCATTCCTGCATTTGCATTTACGTATCATGGTAATGTATCTTTTTTAGTTACAGCAGCCATTAAAATCAAGAATTGAAATAGGTGAACTTACAACTAGACTTTCATTTATTTTTATATATTTATTTTATTTTTGGCTGCTTTGGGTCTTCGTTGCTGTGTGCGGGCTTCCTCTAGTTGCGGCGAGTGGGGGCTACTCTTCGTTGCTGTGAGCGGGCTTCTCATTGCAGTGGCTTCTCTTGCAGAGCACGGGCTCTAGGCACGCAGGCTTCAGTAGTTGTGGCTCACAGGCTCCAGAGCACAGGCTCAGTAGTTGTGGTGACAGGCTTAGTTGCTCCGCGGCATGTGGCATCTTCCCGGACCAGGGATTGAACCCGTGTCCCCTGCATTGGCAGGTGGATTCTTAACCACTGCGCCAGTAGGTGCAAACATTAATACCTAGTTGCGAACAGTTATTTGGAAGAGGCCATTGTATAGGGGATGAAGTTTA